GCTATGGTTTGTGAAGGCATCACGAATTATTTTGTTTAATCCTGGGACGGAATTGACAACAGACTAAAGAGATTATTGAAGACATTTATGTAGTTAAAATAATTTTAAGTAAAATAACATATCAGTTGTTTTTACTGCATGTTTTGTATATAAAATATTAAAATAACATTATTAGTAAAAGAAGTGCAACACAATAACCTAAATTTTTAATATTATCATAGGCATTAAATCGTAATCTGTAATGTCTGCAACTCGAATATCTCATACCCACTTGTAGATACAGTAAGTGTACTGGGGACCAGAAAAAGACTATTTACGTAAGCGTTTAAGTGTGTGGGGAGTATGTTACGTTGAAGAAAAAGATATAAGCAGGTTCTTGTTGTCAACAACACAGAACGTACCGTTTAGAACGCATCTGGAAAAGTTACTCACTACGTTGCAAAATTGAAAACATAATCAGGTTAATCCCTCCGCCATGACACTCGAGTAAAAGTAATTCTGGTTATTAGGCCACTGCCCTCTCCAGTAGCGCAGAATCTGTACAGATGCGAACACCATGTATTCACGAGCATTCTAGAACATTACTTATAATAGAAATCGTTTGTTGTTGTTGACAGTTGAGACGCTCCGCAACGTTGAATAAACATTGAAAAACAGCTTATTTGTCTTGTCATCGGAGATTACAGTTGCTTTTACAGTTAAAGTTGCGTTTTAAGTGTATAAATTAATGCTTGTTGTATTTTCTTTCCCCTGAGACTGAAACAATATTTAATTTACTCAAGTCATGCTGGAGCGGCCACATACGAGGTGCGATCGGAAAGTTTATAGACTGCGCCTATAAAAACCCGTACACTTATCTCAGGTATTAAATTCATCCATCACCCTCGAAGTAGTTCCCCTGGGAGTGAACACAACGATCCCAGCGCCGCTGCCAAGCCTGGAAGCATCCCTGGAAATCTTTCTTTGTCAGCCTGTCAAGCACCATCTGCGATTCTGCCTGAATCTCTTCTATCGTCTCAAATCTCCTTCCCTTTAGCTGAATTTTCATCTTTGGGAAGAGGAAGAAGTCACACGGAGCTTAGAAAGGAAGTTGGGGTCGGTTCTTGCAAGATCTTTGAGCTCCTGACTAACGAGAAGTCGATTCTGCTTCTGGTCCTCAGACAGGAGCCTTGGTTTCGCATGTGGAGTTCTTCCTTTAGAATCAGCTGACCGGTCCCATAGCCTATCCCAACAATGTCGCACAAGTCGTTGATGGTACGACGTCGATCTTCGTGAATGGCCTGCCGAATCTTCGTAACATTTTCGGGCGTTGTGCTCGGAGATGGTCGTCCAGAACGCTCGTCATCATCGCCAGAGGTTGGGCCATTTTTAAAACGTGAATGCCCCACAAAAGTTTGTGCACGACCCATTGCGGACTCCCCAAATGCTTGCTTTAGCATTTCATAGGTTTCCGTAGCCGTTTTGGCGAGTCTTTGGAAAAATTTGACTTGTTCATGAAAATCCGCTATTCCGAAATCGCAGGAGGGTCGGTGTAATGCACTACCAAAACGCCCGTAACTAAGAAACAAATGCTAATTCGATGATGCCGGCTGGCACACTGATTCACTATAAATGTAGGCCGCACCCCCTAAAGGCAGAAGCTCGTACTACATCCGGTTCGCACGCTATTGACACAGTCTTGAAACTTTCCGATCGCACCTCGTACATCTACTGTAAAAGTATTTTTTTTCAGTATTGAAACACCCTTATCCAGATTGGTTTGGTTTTCTAGCTAACTCATGTGGGCTACCACCATTACAAAGAGAACTATAAATTAAATATTGTAGGTATAAGCATTTGTAAGAAGAAAAACTGAACAAAATCATTGTGGAAATGCAATAAGATTATAATATGCTTGTGTACACTCTGTTGCTAGTGGCTTGAATTAATACTTAACCAGTCGTGGTAGTCTAGTCGGTAAAGAAGTCACATGCAGTGCCAACTTCTGAGTTGGAGTTTTCGTTGACAATTACGTTAACAGTTTATTCATCTGATAAGAGATACCCAGTTACCGATTAACAGGAAGGTTTCTTATCTTTCAGTGTCGGAAAACGAACGATATTCAGAACGAGTTCAATTTAGTTTATATCTTCAAAACACGTGTCTCTGTACACGTGTAATTCTAATCTCATACAAGATCTAAGGTTCTCACGGCAGTGAGCAAGTCGACATTCGTCTTCTCGGTTGTAAACCCGTGTGGATTTGTAGGTAGGCACCAGCGTTAAGGATAAACACACTGCCTCCATCTTCAGCTCTGAATACTGTAGACTTCTTAGATGATCAGACGCAGATGCAATATATCCTTCCAAAGCTTTGGTATCCGCCGACAAATCCACAAGGCGTTACCACCCTGAAGACCAACATCGATGTCTTTACCGCCTCTTAGCTGTATCGTAGGACCATAAAGAAAACTAATGCAGTACGAAGACGACCGACAGTCGATAGTAATAGTTTGTCGCCCAGCATGCTTTATGATTTTCATACAGACGTGATCTGAAGTAATTTTAAACCTGAATGTTTCCGAACGTATGACATGTTCCTTTTTCTAACGTCATTGGCTTCAAGTAGAACTCCTTAACACGACTTTTCTGAAATCACGTGTGTGGACAGATCTAAGTGTTTTTTAAGTGTTCAAAGTCTTCAAAATAACAAGAACTAACTTCTCATATTCAGATTCAGTTGAATTATAAACGTCAGTAGAAATAAAATAACATGTTTAAATAAAATACATTTCGCTCTTTCGTTTCGGTAAGACATCGACTGGCCTTTCTAGCAATTTTTCTAGTTATAACATGCATTGAAATAGGCAATTATTATTATTGTTGTTGTTGATCTTGCTGCCATCTTAATTAAATCCATCCTTATAAATATTTCCTTGAGAAATGAAAACCTGACAGACAGAAAACGAGGTAGGTCGACAGCATTAACATGAATTTTAGGAATGCAGGTTTTAAGATTTAGAGGTGGATGAAGGTAGTTCAGAACTAAGTCCCGTGGCTGTGTATGGTATTAGTGGTAATATTAAATGTCAGTTATTTATTCAAATTGTGGGATTACAGATTGGTCTAATGTGATGAAGTGAGAGAAGGCAAGGCGAAATACATACATTATAGCATGATACGTGTCAGATAAATAAGCTGAACGGTTACATACAAACTCAATTTTCAGAACTCTATGAACTGCATCAGACAGTCAAAAACCTAATTTATAACGTATAACATTTAGACGTCAATCTCTTTCCCCTTTTAGTAACAAGTGTAAAGCATTTTATTATGTTGTGCTACGTTTCCGCAAAGTAAGATGGCGTGCTATTGTGCAACTTTTCATGGTACAAGAGAAAACAAGCGCCCACCTTCCCCTGCCCTTTCTCTCCCTCTCTCTGCATTTACCGTATTTTTAATGCACGTATGATTTACACAAGCAATTCATTATGGCTGGATACCTCCCTCCCCCATTCTTAATGTTCAACACGTAAAGTGTGCAGCGGTCACTGAAATAAAGGTCATGTCAGTTGAGTGCCGTAATTTCAGAACAATAAACACATAACAGACACGTCCTTCCATAAAGCTCTTTGTTACTAAAATACTGAACTCTTTAAAATTAAATATTACACTGACCTTAAAATTTGAAAGGTTATGTGACCTAAATTGTATAAGGAGAGACGTAATTCTTATTCTTTTGTCCTTTTTATTTATTTTAGTTGTTGCTTGTTATTTATCACTCTTTATCTTTATTTTGATTCTTTCAATTTTTCAATTTCCACTTGTTGTTTGTCCTTGCTTACGTCTAATCCTCTTACATTTCACATGTTTCGGTGTCATGTATTTGTTTCCTACTTTGTTCTTACTTTCAGTTCCATCTCCACTCCGCAGTGCGTTGCTTCCTAAAATCGAAATATCCTTCACTTTTTTCCCAGAACGTGTCTTTGTTTTGCAAGCATTATACTGTATAACCCTTGAAGCTATGGACCTATTTCCTTATTATGTCATATTTTGTCTTCCTCACTTTAAGTCTGTTCCAATTTTATCTTGCTCTATATTAATTTCCTATTTCCTGTTGCTTTTCATATTATCTCACACTCTCTCCTCTTCAAATTCTATTTACTTCCTCATATTTTCCTTCCGGTATACACCGTTGAACAATATTACCCAAGACCATCTCGTAAACCCGATCTGCACTTGTTTGATTGTTCTTATTTACAAATTGTGTTGGACAATTTTTTTATTCTTTAACTACTGCAAATCCTCGTTATTTTCATTTGCTACATATCTACGCTTACCTAATCACTTTTCACAATATTTAATTGTAACATTTACTCAAAATATGGAAACCTGTCATACTTGAGATAACAATTATTAAACGTTCTTTTTACATTTTTGACATTTATAGGCTTATTTTAAAAAAATTACGATTATAGTTGAATAGATCTCCATGTTGAAAACCATATTACACTTCTTGGATACGTGTGTCTATCATTTGTCAACATGCCTCGTCACAAAGGACATGCGTGATATTTGCTACAAACAGCATGCCAGCATCTTTAACTTTTTCCATGCTACTCACGAGAAATATCGCTTAGAAACGTTGGCAATTTTGATAAGATCATAAAAGAAACTTGTACCGTTAGCTTTCAGCAATTTAAATTATCTATTATCATTGAATACAGTAAGACAAAATGGTTTCTTTAATAGAAAGCTCAAGTAGATTGTCAATAGAACATGAGAAAATACGTAGTTCTACACAGTACGTATTCTCAGAAACTGAGAACATTTAGTGAAGTTTCGAATAATAAAGCAAATTTTCAATCTTATGAATAAGAGTAAAAATTTGCACTCTGTACATTTGAGCATCTTAATGACTTAATTTCTTACGTCAGGATGCTGAAATGTAATAAAATGTTCGAGCTTGATGCAGATATTTGAAATAATTACTTCATTACAACTGCTACCTTTCTGTTTCAGGATGGGCCGTTCGAATGCGCGAGGTTGCTCCGAGTCTCAACTGCCACAAAACAGCATTAGTCACTGCCATATATTCAAGGTAAGGCAATCTGTCTCTCTTAGATGGATTATCGTATTTAGTGCAGTAGCTGGTTGTGACGTCTCGTGTCGGCCCTAGAGGTCATTGCGATCTTAAACAAGTTCATACCTCGGCGTAAAAATGGATTATCTGCTAAGTTTGCAATCAGTATAGGAACTTAATTTTCTTCAGACCACAGTGAAGCAAATTTTGAAAATGAGGTTTTTTCGTAGTTTTAGTTAGTTCGTAGAGGCAAATTCTGGGATAGCGCCTTAAATAGCCACAAATATCTCCTTCCTTATCCTTTTCCAATTTATCATCGTATAATTTGATTCTATGTAGTCTGAGCTACTGACTACTTCTTTAAATAAACCACAAATAAACACGAAATGTTCATTAGTTTATAGGGACCTGTATATAATGTCTATTTAATTGTTCAGTATTAACTGCTCAGATTGTAGGATTTGAGGTCTTCAAGGCAGTGAGTCTGAAGATAGCTGTCTTCTGGGTTGTTGCGCCGTGTAGTCTGGTAGATGTTAACCAACGTTTCAGAGGTCCATACTGCTTCCATCCTCTGAAACGTTGGTGGACATCTACCAGACTACACGGCGCAACAACCCAGAAGACAGCAATCTTTAACTGCTAAGATTATTTAACGTCGAATCATATGTGGCATATAAATTATTTAATGTGAATTAATAATTGTAAGGCCAGTTTCAGCCTTGTGTTCCTGTAGTATTCACGAAACTTGTTTAAATCTGTGTACTTATCGCTATTTTAACCGGGTATCTGCCAAATAAAAATAAAATAGCTATTTATTTACTTTTGGAACTTAGTGCAGTATAGTCAAACTGATGAAATAATAATAATTCAAAATAATAAATAATAATTTAATAATTAAAATAATAATTCAGTTCTTTAACATTTATTATTAGTGTGCTGTATGAACAACCAGAAGAACAATAATAATTCAATTAAATTCAATTATCTTCTTGATATTTTAATTCTTTTTAATTGTGTTAATTTCGTGTTTCAAGGGTAAAGAACCTTACGTACTTGCCGTCTCTCCATGGGCATTGTTATTTCTACAAGGGCTCTTTATTGAACCATTACCCTGGGAAACTATTTTTTTAAGATCCATTCTAATGTGGAAGTAACTATCTAACTGAATTACGGATTCTGATATAACATTTATATGCTACTACCATAATTGAAGTCACTTTAAGTATGTTTACGTTTTGGTTTAATTTATTTCTCATGTTAACAGACGCAGTTTAAAATAACGTTAAGAAATTGGACTTTGAATTTTAAGTGTTTCGATAGATCAGGTTTATTGGTCTTTCTAGCGAGAGAATAAGCGAATTCTAAGTCAGACTTCATGAGAGTACATGAAGAGATGAAATGGGTGTACACTGGTTTCGTCTTTCAGAGGTTGGGGAACAGAGACATGCTTATGAATTCTTCTCGGGCTACCAACTGTGTAAGGTGACTTAATTGATAAAACACCAACGTTTCAAGAACCATATTCGTCCTCGTCCTCAAGGTAAAGACGGGCTTCTGCGAAACATGTTCTTTTCTTGTTCTATAAAGGATAGGGGAATCTCTTGACCTACTCGCATCGCATTACCGTTAAACCATAACGAAACTGTCACTTCCCGGCTCCTTGCTAGAACTACATTACTAAGCTAAGCGCTACAAGGATTTTTCTCGACACGAGTCGAGAATCGATTCATGAAAACAATGCAATCAACTGGGAAAAAAGGGATCTGGTAGTGACAGTTGCGTTCTGGTTTGTCATTGAACGCACTGCTTTAATGTATGTTTTGATGCGGAAGAGGGAGCTTTGAAATTTAAATCCGCGAATAACGCAAGAAGACCGGAGAAAGGTTAATTCCAGGATTGTAGCAGGGTTGCCTGAGAAGCAGGGAAATTTCGGCTTCGGTAGGTAGCATCAACATTACTGTATGTGTTGCAGAGCTAAATGAGGACCGTGTAAATTAAGGACCTTGTACTCTGAGAGCAGGGTCGTGTGAAAGTTGGTGCGGGGTGGGGGGGGGGGGGGGCATTCTCATGCTTGCGCCAAATCCCGTGCCTTAAAGCTGTCCTGTCTTTTCGCATCTCTAATTAAATGTACAGCGTAATGCTACACCAGTGGCAGGGCGAACATATTTTCAAAAACATGTTATAACTTGCGGGGAAAGTATTTTATAGACGCTGTGTCCTGAATTTATGGACCTATGTGCCGCTCTGGATTGAAGTTAACTAGCATCATGTAACAGAGTTATTATTGAGAATCTTTTAGTCTCTGATCTGGTACAGACATTATTACACTTTTTATAGAAAACTAGTAAACCATTGAATCTTATTATGAGAATAGAATAAACCAGTCTGCATCCTTTTACCCTGTTTCTTAAATATCTACCTTACCATCTATATCTAGGTCTACCGAGTGGTCTATTTTCTTCATATTTTTCGATCTAAATTTTATATATATTTCTCATCCTTTCCATGCTACATACTGCGTCCATTACACTCTTCTTAAAGAAATCCATTTGATAGTATACTGTGAAGGATATAAAATACAAACCTCTTTATTTTTATCAATTATCGTATATCTCCTCTCTCTCTCTTAGGTTCAAACATGTTCCTCAGCACCGTGTTTTCGGACACCACTACGTTCTTCCTACAAAGTGAGAGTAAAATTCATACGGAAACAGAACAGCAGTTAAAATTATATTCTTGTGTATCTTAATCTTCATATTTTGTAGACCCAAAGATCCTGTGCTCACTAGTAGCAAGAAATACTCAAATTTAAATTTCTCTTAATTTCATCGTACACACACACATGTAGGCCATGAACATTTCTTAGGCCTATGCGGTTTCTTCAAAATCGTACCGATTAAGAATTACTACGTTCAGAATTTTGTTATGCGGTCAGATTGTATGTCTTTAAATAAGTTTTGCAGTGAAAGTCAGATTGTATGTCTTTAAATAAGTTTTACAGTGAAAGTTATAAAGTGCTTTCATGATGATTTCCTCTGTACTGGGTGCACCTCCATAAGTTATAAGAGAACTTTATTACAAGATATTAAGTAACAGTAGCAATTTCCAAACGATTTGATACGGACCGTGTTCGTTCTCTTTTCTTTAAGCTTTGACTGGAATGGAATTGTCTGTGGAATTGTATTTGAACATTCTTGTGTGAAAGTTCTTATATACCTTACTTCTGCTTCTGTTCACACAATAAGATAAAATGCTTTATTGTGTTGGACACTTCAGAAAACTGCTGTCTTCAACGTTCGAAATTTTCTAAAATTGCAGCAAGGCTGGTTATATCATTCCTGTGAGTAAAAGTAGATTACATTTTATCGTAAATCTGTATGAGAAGGTAAAACATACAAAAAGAAAGAAATAATAGCAGAAATAAAAAATAAATTAATAGTATATTCAAAACGTTATCAAAATGTGGTAAATGACTTAAATGAGAAAATGAAATATATTTTTAAGCTGTAACAGGTTAAAAGTTGTACCCAAGTCAGGTAGGTCTAATTTAAAATACTTTAAGCGGGACTAATCATAAAATTTTATTTCCTTATTTTATAAAGAAAAATACTAGTCGGTCTTCCCACGGCGGAGAGAAGGAATAACCACTTTGAGACGCCCTGTGAAAGCAGAAACAGTCGCTGTGCCCTGATATTTGTGTCAGTACAAACTAAAACTTTGACGTGCCGTAATAAAAGCTTTGTGCTTTAGATTCAGTTGTTTGTTTCGTTCATGTCCGCCGCACGTCTGGAGTTGAATTTATTTGCCAGCAGACATGTTACAAATTTAAGTGAGTAAACAAGTTTGAGATAAAACTCAGTTTTCGGAGGCGAGCGTCGATACAAGCATAGAAGACAAGCCAGGACGCTAAAATCAAAACAGCCTTCAGACTTCAATTCACAACAAACAGTATGAGAACTTTGAACATACAATTATGAAGTTTTCTATAAACAAGAAAAAATATATTATTTTATGATAAACATTGAATAATCAGTAATGTAATTTATTTAATTTATTTTAGATGTAGATTATATACTATGTATAACTTGAATTATACACCAACAACTTTGGGGGTACAAAGTTGAAGAGAAATTATATCTGGGGAGTACGCGAACAGAAAAGTTTGAATACCACTGGACTAGGGGCTACTATTGGTGGAAAGTATGACACGCCAGAGAGTTACACTACTACACACAGATTGAAAACATCAAGCAGTTACGAGTAGCGTGTAGTGAGCGCACCTCTAATGTGTTCTGTGGGTGTTGTGATAATATTCTAGATTAAATCACTGTGCCACTGTGAGGTAATCTTAAAGCTATACCGATTTGAAAGCCGGTGTGCGATATCCCCTGAAGCGCGAAGCCCTGCCCACGACCCTCTGTTTTCAGATTTCTTCCTTTTGTGTATGCACTACTAACTGAAGTGACAAGTGAAATGAAACACGGTTCATAGGCTGAATATTATTAACAAAGAAAACATTAACGCATTGTGATTTATAGGCATAATGCGTAACATAGTTAAGACAAGGGTAGAATTTAATATTATTTATTCTCTCTGTATTTTACAGTCTCTTTCGTTCACTTTCTCTCACTTCTTGCTTTTGTACCACAAACCAAGCCCATAAATCTCTCGAACTTTCTTACACGAAGTCTTAGGTATAATTTTACGTCAGTTCTTCCATTTTACAGTGGATCATAATGCCAACTGTCATATAACAGAATAAAATTTATATATCAAGAATATAAATTATTAGAGGCGTCAAATTCATAACTTCAATCAATAAATTCAAAATTTCTGTAGCCACCGCATTCTACGAACTCAATTCCGGCTTATATTTCCAGTTAGAATCATAAATTTGAATTTGAATTCCCTCTTTCTTGTAGCCGCGAGGTGTGTGTGTGTGTAAGGAGATGCATCTGAGCATCTCTTTCTGTTCCAGTCAATCATATATTTTTGAGAAGGCATCTTTTAAAGTGAGG